ACTCATGCTGCAAGAAGCAGAACGCACTGCATCAACTCCGTGTTTAGACGAGAAAGCGACGATTTGCAGCTTAGCAATCGCAAGTGTGTGCCTCCTGATAATATATTTGCTCTACCATTTCGGGGTAATCGACCCCTTTCTTCTCCGGTTAGGCCTTCCGTCTTCGGGGGACAGGGGCGCCGCAACGTGATCTTAAAAGCACCTGGGTTTGTAGTCCAAACTGCTCCTCCTCTTTACGCTGAAGTCAACGCGGAATGCAGATGGTCGCACCTTATTCATAAGCGGCTCTGCCTAGTTTATCTTGAATATCGATGGGACCTGGCTTCGATTCACAAGCTTTCTCAATCACCCGACGAGAGGCTCTCGGAAATACGTCCCCAAAATGGAGAGTCCCTCTCCGGGCGAGGTAGAGCCAGGGCCCGGGGAACTCAGACTTCCCGGAGACTCACAAATGCGGAAGAGGTTTCGGATGATTGGCAATGAAATCGGGGCAAGAAGACCTTTTTCATTCTCGTGGTTTTCCTCTCCCTCGAGTTACTCTCGGAAAGCCCTCACAGGGTGACGCAGACGGGCAAACTTCTTTGAAATTTCGAAGATTTGCTCACCCACAGGCAGCCGCGTGATCTCGACGCGCTCTTCTTTTCACAATGGGCACATCAACAAGTCATCGACTATGACTTGTGACCGGGAAGCGACCCGTGTTCCAGCTGGTGGAATGTTGTCACGTCTGTGTCAGAAATGTCGGCACTCTGACTCGGTTTCCGTCTCAATCGAAGTTTTCGAAAAACGCGCCCCGCTTTCAGTCATCATTCGAACCGAATCACATGGCTGCGCCTGATTGGTGTATCAACGAGGCCCTGAGATAGAGGAGCACGTCGCGGCCGTCTTCTTCCTCGACACCAATTTGATATTTTCCTCTTCGCAGGAGGCTGTGCGATGCTCGATAGCCCTGCTCATTCCCTTTGTCCGTGTCGTCTTCGAACCCCGTGTGCGTCGATCCGCCGTGTCTGTGGCTCATTCGACTCTGCTGCGACACGCTCGTGTCCCTTTGTCTTAGCGGTAGAAAGAACTTGCTAGACATGGAGCTCGGCTTGCACAAGTCTCCGTCACGGCATATCCATGGACGCTTGTCCGCATGCAATGTTTAAGCTTGAGATCCATGTCACCCCGGAATCGCTTTGGGATCGTGCTGAAGAAATCCACCCGGACCGGCCCGCCTCCTCGGGGGTAGATCTGAAAGCGAAAGCGCAACAGGCTCACCCGGTCATCGTGGTCATCTCCGCGGGGCGGCGTCGTGTAATCAAGGCTGTGCGATTTCTAGCCCCTCAATTAACACCGTCCCGAGACTGTGATCTCTTTCTCTAGGGTGACCCGAGCTCACTACGCGAGTCTCGTAGCCGTCGATACGAAGAGGAGGGTTTCTCGCCTACTGGTACTTCTGCCATTCAGGAGAACAATTTCCCGACGAGGAGCGGACTTCTTCTTGGTGAGCTCCTGTGCGGAAAGCGCACAAGGGAAACGGACGCGAGCACTAAGCGATGAGGAATCCTCGATACACATAGAATCAGCATTGCATTTTTGATGTGACGACCTCCTTGACTACATCATGCCACATGATGACCGTCTGTAGTCATTTGGAATTCTTATTGATCTACTCGAAAAGCTTGAGCTCCCGAATCACTCACGCAGGGAACGCATGGTCCCGGGCCTCCTCACATACGTCGGGATCTCACGCGACCCTCCGGGGGATCCCTCTACATAGCTATACGTATCTTGAAATCAAACTTATCAATTACGACAGTAAATGAGCTGCTCTCGGGAGGGGGACATGAGGACGGAGGTTCTGGAGTCGATCTCTATTCCACACGAGATTTGTTGTCCACCAGGACTTTCCATTGGAGGTGTCTCGGTGGAGGTCTGTCCTCCGCGATCTCCCTACTCGATCTCGTGATTGCCGAAGTAGGCATGGGGATGGGAATCGTCTTACATTAGTGACTCATGATCACGCGCAAGACACCCGTGAGAAAATCTGATCTTGCTTGATCCGGATTCCTCCTTCGAGCCGAAGGAGCGAAGAAGCTTCAGTTCTGAGGCGGAAGCTCCGCCGCTCACAGGAGGATGCTGCGCTCAGGAAAGAGCGGAGAATTTCTGGAGCATGTGCACCAGCGACAGCCATCCTCGTGCTCATGATTAAGATCCCCATGATTACAACTTCCCGATTCGTGGTCTCGACAAACTTTGCGAATCTCTATCTCTGCCATGCACTCCACGCGGAACAGCGATGCTACTTTTTTCGTCTACAGTATCAGATAGGGGTGCGCACATAGAGCTCGCGAAGTTCCGAGCCGCTCCTGGTTGCAGCAAGGATCATTCGAGACTAAACCTCGCTTCTCATGGCTCGGCGTTCGAGGCTTACTAAGATTATGCCATGCAGACTTTATATCATCGATCCAGTATATCCTGATTCTAGAAGCCAGCGAAGTATCCGGGGTCAGGGGGCAACCAGGGCACGTGCCCCGGGCGCCGACATCAGGGAGGCGCAAAATCGAGATTTCTGTTCACACTAGCTGAGCGCGGAGTCGGAGGTTAGAATTGATTCTGATAGAGCGAAATTCAGAAAAAAACACAAGTGACACAAGAGCTATTTCCTTTCGTATTACGTACAGCCATCCTACATAATCTGGTCCGCTCGAATGGGGCGCAGTGTCTCCCAGAGAAATACTCTCTTTGTGACCCTCTAGACTCTAGATCCTCCTCGCCGTGTCTTAGCGCCAGACGGAATTCGCCATGGAGGGGGCGCATCCACGTCGTCTGCCCCGGGCGCAAAATGGGCTAGGTACGCCACTGCTAGAAGCTTTTCGGAATGGTTTGACAGCTCGGTAGAAGGCATCAAAATATGGGTGGGAGTAGGGCACAGCGCCTGCTCCACTTTGGCAATAGAGAGTCCGGCGGGATCTTGGAGGAACTATTCCCTCACCCTATTCCATCGTCTTCCCCGATGATTCCTTCGGGATATATTATAAGATTATGGAGACCTGAAATATGGAGACCTGAAATCGCGGTCCGATCAACAGTGATTTCGAACTCTTTCCTCCCATAGCGTCGAGGATCAACGCCTCGAGCCTGGCTTTGCTAGGATGCAGTAAGCATCGATCGTGAACTACGTCAACGTCGTCTCCATCATTCTCTGAGCATATCGTCGGCGTTGCGACCGTCTTGATCACGCGGGGAGATCAATCGCCCCCATAGAAAGTACGTTAGAAAACTCGTGGGTCATCGAGGACCATCATCAGTTCCTAGGCACGGGTCAAAACCTCGAAGAACCCGTGGGAGCGAGACCGGGAAACTTCGATGCAGTCCCCGATGGAATCCAGAGAACTGGAAAACGATTGGGTCTTCTACCTCAATATCATTGAAGTCTCTCCGGAGACGACTATTCGATCGTGCTGCGCGTCTTCCTTTGCTTTTCTGCGATTCCGTCAAGAGGTGAGGCTCTGACCGAACCGACGATGCGACGGTCGAACAATCGTTTGTATTGGAACGACGGAAGCTCGGCTTTAATCTTGAGCGTTGAGATGATTTGTGGAGACATCGAGCGGTAGTCGATGGGTCCATGAAGATCTGTATGATTTGGCAGGCTCGAAGCACAAAAAACCTCCCGACTCATGTAAGGTGAAATTGTTTGATTCGCGAAGCGATCACTCTGTGAATGATGCGTCTAAAACTTCGTGGGTCGGTGTCGGAGTTACCGCGGTCCTTCTCCGAGCTAATTGAGTGATCGAATCGATGAGGTCTACATCACATCCAGATCATAATTCTCTGAAAATATCTACCCTCGCCAGTCGGCTCTGGCTCAGTCAAGAATCAACCAGCCCCGAACGCTCGAGTGCGAAGCAGTTGCAATGTGGAGGCGACTCAAGGGACGCTCGATCCGGACCGGGGCTGCAACGACTGATTGAGTCGTAACAAATACGACCGAGCTCTCAAGGATCCCAACACTCTCTCGGTCACCTTCTAATTCTACCACAGAGGCTGCCTGTAGAGAAATGACGTCGATGCCCCTTCTCGAAGTTCTGACGCGGCTGCCCCCCGATTTCGAGTACGAGAAGAAGTGGCACTCAAGGTTCACAGCTCTCGAAGAGGAATTGGAATGAGCTTGCGGAGCCCCACCGACGTCTAGTTTCGATCTTCTACCGCGGGGAAGCTTGCCGCAAGGGGAAGGTGCCCGTAATATCTCGCCCCGCGGCAGAGCTCTTCTGTCGGCCTATTCGATTTTCAGTCTCCGTATTGACCTCGATCACCCCGAGCTCCGATTCGGGGTGGCTCCCTCACTTCTGACGGCCCCGGTCACCCTGATCGCGCGGTATGAATGGACGTGGAAGTCAATTACCCCGATGAATGAAAAAACTGCCGACTCTATTCCGCTTGTTTTTTATCCCAGTCGGAGGCCATCAGCTGCCGCTGCTGCCCCGTTTCACGTTCGCGGATGATCTGAGATCGAAACTATGTGCGTATTCTTGTCAAGCCGTCGTTATCTTGTCGCCTACTCGCGGAGCGGCTCGATGGAGATACTGAGCGAGTGAGCATTGAAATATCGGGTTATTAGCATTCAGATGCGAGATTAGCATAGTTGTCGAGGGGAGAACTGATTGCCGGACGGCGTGTTCCATCTTAGTCGGAACGATCGCTGGACGACGCTGGAAACATGATGAAAGGTTCCCCGCATACAAATTCCGTATCGATCGTTCCACTCCTCGCTTCCCAACATTCCCTGGGTTCCGCCAAGATTTTCCGAAAACCGTTCGAAAATCTTCGGAAACAAAGCCCATCAAGTCGGGCAGACCCCCAGCGTCGCGGCAGCGCCCACGAAACCTGCGCCTGGCGGCAGTGACCAAAACTCGGCGGCGTAGAAGGCCCGCATCGGAATGCTCGCGTCAGGACGCACAGGCCTGTACCGAAACCTTCTGTCGATTAGCTCACACACACCGAGTGAGCTTCACCATGCTGATACTGAGACATGTGGAAACTCGAAGTAGAGAGCAGATATGGTTTGCTCATGTCGATTAAGAGCGATTGCTCCGGGGGAGACACGGAAAAGGTTCCATTAACAGCCCTGTCCCCGGCCTCTATCACGACCCCCCACTTACAGAAAGCACGGCACGAAAAAATGGAATTCCTGAGGATCGGCAAGATGGTTGCTTGGCTTCGCGACATCGCGTTTCTGTGCTCCAGCTAACCAATGGCTCTCTGTCCGTGACTAGGTGACCAAGATTCCACGAGGTAGGAGTTCGGGCTCGTGTAGGCATGTCCACCGTATCTCCAGAGTTCGATGAAGTCAAGCGCAGATCTCCTCCTGGTGCTGAATTCCGACACTCGAGAACGAATTGGTCGCAGCAGTACATCTATGCCACAGAAATTCAACATGAATCATTGATCACTCGAGGACTCAGGGACCATGGAGATCAACAACTCGGAAGCCTCGCCATAAGCGAAGGCGCTTCATCACTGCTACACCCACGGTACTAGGTATAGCGGATCATCATAGACTGTCGGGCTGTCCAATCTGAGACGCCTATACGTTCAGGTCCATAGACTTATTGTTCGAATCTTCTGGCACGGGGCAGAAGACTCTCAGGGAAAGACGACCCGAAGCGAATCGCCAGCGGTCATTGGGCGGAATATTGCACAGTGACCTGCGACTCCCGGGGTTTGCGTTCTCCATCGGTTCTCGAAATCTCCGTCGCTCTGGACGGCCGATCGACGATAAGGTGCGATAAATTGAGTCTCCTTCTCGTCACGGGCGGTATTTCCCGCCGACCCAAGGACTCCAGCGGCCCATACGCGAGTACGGCCGCTGAGTATCCGACGTCGGAAGCCGAGCGAGCACCCGACAATGACGGTTAGGTATACGGGGGCACCAGCAACGACGCGCTCAATAGATAGCTGCCCGAGTTTCGAGCGCAACGCACAGGCGAAGCCTAAACTCCGTTAGAGCTTTTGAAAATCCCGCCGCGGCGGCGGAATCGTGCCGCCCGAGCGGTTTCGAAACCACTGAGGAACTCGCCGCTCCTCGTCTATCGTCGTCGGCAGCGGCGGCGGTGCGGTGTATCGAGCAAGCGACGACGACACCATCACCACCACCAGAGGAGAAACTACCTCACCAAACGCAAGCGTTCCGTTCGAAAAGTTTCCGGCTCGCCGCGACTTGCAGGAGCAGTTTTCCAGGCTCTCAATCGGATCCAAGAGACAACCAAAACTCCTGATCGAGGATCCTTTGTACTCAGGCAAGAAACTTTCTGAATTAGATTTTAGCCCTTTTCTGGTGAGGCGGCCAGCGGCAGCCGAGTTCGAGAGTGGTTTTCTGATATTCTGTGGGCCCTTTCAGTCTATCAAGACACTCGGTAGTAGCGAACGAACATCGTATGTAACTTTCTCCACTTTCCGGGGCAGAGTACTTACGGGAAATGCGTAGACGCAAACTTGGCCGAAACCTGTGTTTGTTCAAGAGGAACTCCTTCCCTCCCCGGCGGCCAGTAGGGAATAATTATGCGCTTGCGTCTCCGGTTGCCTGGTCGCGACGGATACTTGACAAAGTCCTCCTGAGCTCCGGGAACGACCGCGGGTCCACCATAGATCGTCGGCATGCCGCGAAGCAACACCAAACAACTTGTTGCATTCGCGTGCAACGCTCTGAAGGAGTGTAACTGCCCTCATACCTCAACATGACAAAATGGTGTAAACTTTGTTTTGGTGCTTCTCATATCGCATGGATACGAGGTTCTGAGTTAGATGTCCAGTACAAGCCTTCGTCATACTCCCGATTCCCACGAATGCGCTCGTGGATTCAGTTCCGCTCCGAAGCGTGCCCACGGAGAGCCTCCCGAGGAAAGTCACGGAGACAGAGGGTGGTTGTTTCTGTCTGGATCTATAAGCACGCCATGCTGTCCACCAAGTGGAATCTGGATGATCGCGAGAGTCTCGTTCTTTCTCGCGACTTCTCAGATTAAGGCAAATTTATTCCGGAGGCCTCTCTTGCAAGTCGAAGGTTTCTTCCTTCTGTGTTAAGCTCGGGGACACAGGTCTAGCGACCTTTCTCGGAGTCGAACCATACGCTGCCCATTTATTGAACGCATCGTTCTGCAATTTACAGGTACAATCATGACAAAGGGCCACGGCCTCAGACGCAGAGGATTCTGAGTATGTCTTGGAGTCCATTGGAGTTGAGTGAAACAACCAAGGAGCTCCTCTCGAAGTCTGCCATCGAAAAGCATCTCGTTGTGAGTATCCACCGACCCGCATTTCCTCTCGATGGATTTCTCCGCGGAAGCTTCGAATTCCTCGGCCAGACCGCCGGCTAGAGTTGCCGTGCGACTAGGTTTTGAGATCGCGAATCGCGAGAATGTCCTAAGATTCCCGTCTGCTCTCAATCGAAACCGTAGGTTCGCTTGGTCAAGCTTCCCCTGATGCCTTCCGACGCCGAGTGCATGGATCCCGAGCTCGAGACTGGAGGGCCCGATGATGAGCCCCCCAGCAAGAAGCAGAAGATCGTTCCATACAAACTCAAGGAGAGCGATAAGAAAATGGTCTACGACAGCGGTAGGTGCTGAAGTGATCGCAAGTTTGCCTGTCCCGTGAATAGTTGGTATGGAAGAGTCATGAACATTTTCGTAACTCCTTATTTCCTTCTAGGAACCGTCATCTACACTGAGGAATTCAAGAGGAGTGTCTGGGACTACCTGTGCATTCATTCCCTCGCCGACGGAGAAAAGCGCTATCCCGAAATCTCGCACTCGGTTCTGTACAAGTGGCGACGGAAGGCTTTAGAGGAACGAGGGGAATTCGTTCCTCAACGACATGTGGAGAGTAGGAAGAGTCTCCTGGCCGATCTCAAGAAGGAAAGAGTCGAGGTCGACGAGAGGGAACGAAGGTTTGTTGAGACGGAATCACTATGGTCACTATCGGACTCCTATAATCATAAAATCTTCCTGTATCCCTTGTCGAAATAAGAGAAAATCGGGAACAATATTCAGCCTTGGTTCGTGAAGGTCGACCGCCGCTCGATGAGGCATTTTCTTTGAACAACCGACGATCCCGAAGTCAAGAATCTTACTTCATCCAGGTATTCCGAACCGCCGAAAGTGCCGAAACTGAAGATATCTCTGAAAATGACGCAGCAACAGAAAGAAGAACCGAAAACGAAAGTTATCCACGCTTTGACCGACGACCTGAGTGTGGAGAAGAAGGTCAAAGTTGTCACCTTCGCCCTCCAAAACTCTACTCAGAAAGCAGCTGAGCATTATAATTTGAAACCGGGCGAGGTTCACAGCTATATGTCTCAGGTGCGAATAAGGCGCGACGAATCTGAGTCCTTCTGCTTAGCACAACCATGCGAAACGTCACTCTCCGAGATCAAAAGTCATGTAGTCGGAATTCGTCTTCCTGTTCACTTACGGACTTCGCGTTAAGGAACCGCTTATTCTCCAGAACGTTATCAGGCGCTTGGCCTTGGACAGAATAAGGAATCGAGTCACCAGAGGATCCAAGGGCGAGACGAAATCTCGCGAAGAGATCCTCGAGATCATCAACCTCGCAAGGAAAACTAACGTTGAACGAGCTGCCCGTCAGTACAGCGTCATGGAGGGCCAAGTATTGAAGTGGCTTCGGATGGGCGCTCCGTCGAGACCCGCGATCCAGTGTGAAAACGTACGTCCCGTGGAGGATCCGCGCAGCTAGTCTATTTCGATTTTACGGAATTCGTCGCGAGTTCAATCGCTCTTGCTTAAGATTTCTCCTCTGATCGCAGGGTTCGACCGACGGAAATACGCGCAACGATTTTGGAATCGACTTCCAAATGAAGGTCCTTGACCTGGCCAGGAAACAGAGCTTATCACGAGCTTGTAAAGTGTTTCAGGTAGGGTCCCCTCCTCTTGAGGGATGATTGCTGGCTTCACCGATACATTCCGGCGAGAGCGAGCCCCGCGGCAAGATTCTAACCGTGGGTGCATTGCCCTTTCCAGGTACAGCCAAGTATCGTCCAGGAATGGATGAAGAAATTCTTCCCTGAGGAAGAGGTCCACAAGGTCGTGAGCTACGATGAAGATGACCAAAGCCGTGTGATTCCGCGAGAAGTTAAGGCCGCGCCCGTCGATGCCGATGAGCTCGAGCAGGTAAGTTCTCGCTTAATGAGCTGCGCCTGCCCGAATTTTCCGACTTCTCTCGCATGAGCTAGCGGCATGAAGAATTGTCTTGTCGACCTCAGTGAGAAGAAGACACTGATCGGTATCGACACCCTTCCAGCTCCTCTATAAACATTTGCAAGAGCCCTCATCTCGTATTCGAGCACTCGATACAGGAGAAATGGGAATGGATACAATTGTCTCTATTCTCAAAGTGGCTCTTACGGCTGGCAGTAAGGTCGCTTCGATTCAGTTTAATATTCCGCGCACCACGATCGCAACTTGGATCACAAGGAACTCTCTAGAGGACCTCGTGAAAGGTTGCGTGAGGAGCAGTGTGACGGTGAGGAACCAAGCAAGGAACAGCTCGCATGTTTCCTTTTCATTTATCCTTTGCTCTATGTACGGGGAACCATCGCCCAGAGTGGAGGTTCCCAAACGAAAGCGAGATGTATCCTGAAATCGTAATCCCCTCCCAGGCGCGACGCAGCGACCCCACTCCGGCCCAGAAACAAACGCCCACCCTCCCAATGACGAACGGGAACACCTCACCGATCACGGAACGAAGCGCGCGAGCTTTTCAACGCAATCTTTCCTTAGAGAAGAGTCGAACTCCCAGTCCGACACCCGTGATGACGAATGGCGACGCCTTGGAAATGGACGAATTGCTCATGGACGCCAATAATAACGATAGTACAGTGACATCGAAAGAGGAGCCGAGCAATGCGAAGGTCGAGGAGCAAATCAACGGGACTGTGAGTTGCAAGAAGCAATTCAACGGAGATTCCGACGACAATTCAGCGTATGTCAAGCTTTCTGTCGATCAGATTGAAACAGCGAAAGAAATCGGAATATCCATGAGGTGAGTGAATTTCGGCGACGCAGAGGACACTTCAATCTTTGTGGACTCTTCTGGACGGAATTTTCCCGGACCAGCGAAAGGTTTCGGACCGAACTCGAGGGACGGGGACGAGGTTTCGCCTCACCATAGGCCGATGTCTAATGGAGCCTGTTTTTCCGATCTAGGTGTCTTTCTCGCTGGCTGGAATGCCGCAAACATTTTGTAAAGCTCCGAAAAAATAGACTTGCCGGTGCCAAGGGGGATAGCCTGAAAGAGATTCTCATGTTCAGATTGGAAGCTGTAGATTACGCTCAGAAGGAGGGACGGGTTTTCGCAGCCAGCGTTTTCAGGTAAGATGATATGGAGGTATTTCATTATCGGAATTCTTCCGCAAATCATGGAGTCCCCACCACGCAATGTGCTCCGACGCAGGATGTGTTCTAATTTAGTTCGCTCCGCTCCGCAGAGTTACCCTCGGTGAGCTCAATGAGTGGACCAACCGGCGCGACTCGTACATGAGAGCACTTTTGGGAGGATCCTCCGAGTCTCTGGCTCTTGTTGCACTGGATAAAGTTTCGGACCTTCTTTACGAAAACGAAGGCATTGCCCGAGCTCAGGCCATCGCGGAACGTTTGGGTCTGGACCTTAAATTAGCTAATCAGTTCATCCAGCAACTCTACGCCTCCATCTAGTTGAATCACTGCGTGCTGTATTTTGCTTCGAATCTCGAAGGACTTCATCGGGAAATCGCTACTGAGGCTACTCCATGAAATAGACATCCTCGAGCGGAAGCTTCACAAATGGGAGGGAAGAGAACGTAGGGGCAAAACCCTCCGGTCGACGAAAGACGACTGCAGCTCTCCTCAGAAGGAAACTTCCAGGTCTTGTACCGTATATTCCCGTTATATTCGCCGACAGCGGCACGGACCATGAACCCCCCTCCCTTTCCCCGGAGGCTTTGCTGATGCGCCACCATCGAGTCGGACATTCGTTGCTGATGCTCTGAATTTCTTTGCTCAGTTGCGCACGCCGCTCGTTTTGACGCGGTACTGAAGATTTTCTCCGAAAAGGCGTTGAGCTCAGTACCGAAATCCTTTCCGAATGTAGTGTTACTTGACGCGGATATTTACCTTAACGATCGGTATATATGTGACCTCAGCGACTTGTGATCGCTCGAACTTCATTAATATTTTAGTCGAGACGAGAGTCTCTTCCGACCCATCCCTCCTCGATCAGAGCGAGCACCGAATCACCATCATCCTCATCACCGTAATGTATAAATAGATTAACTTAGGAACAGATGCTTTTGCGCGGATGGAGGACATCGTTGACATCCGCAGCGATTGCGATTGTGGTAAGCTAGAGGCAGTCTGAAGATTGAATCAACTTGGTGGGATTTCGAGTTCCCACATATCTCAGTACAAACTTTTTACAGACTATATCCTAGCACAATTTATAAAATTTATCAAGGATTTTTGAAAATCGTTGAAGACACACCTGAGAGGTACAAGTTTTTCGGCCTTATACGAGCTCGTCCATACGCGAGCTATGAATTCGCGGGAGATCTTTCCCACGACGAACCGGAAGCGTATATTTTGCTACTTGCTGATAGTTACCCGAATCACGAGAAAGCGATTCAGTAGAATGACGGTCGCGACGAATCATACATAGCCGATGAATCATGAATAAAAGTCGATGTTCCGAGCGATCACCTGCTTCTTGTCTGTGCTGGAAGGTTCCGTCTGGAGCGAATCGATCGGCCCGTATATTTGTCAGAAAATTCAAGATAGGCAGATTCAAATTTCAGGGAGATACGATTTGAAATTCTGAAAGTCGAAGGATTTCAGCAGTATCAAGTCATGCTCTGCATCCGAACAATATTCCATCGAGTCGTCAATTTATTCTGGAATTCTGTCTGTCAACGAATTCTCTGCGGAAAACAATAGTTTCATAGATTCTCTGCGATCCTCGCGATATGTACCTTTTTCCTAGGGTAAGAGTCTGCTGTAGTCATCGACGAGGGCCATGATGAGGAGGATCATCTCAAGAATCACAATCTCCCTCGTTCGATCAATTAATTAAATTCGGCGAAGAGACATTATTCATAACTCCGGTGAGGGATTGTATCTCCTGAAGATGTTTATCATTCTCTTGAAGAACGGCCTTCGTGAAAGAGAGCTTCTTGATTGAGAAGGCGTCAGTTTGAGAACTTTGTGCGGTTGCTCCCCCGCCGCTGCAAAGCTCATCGCAATTAGCAGGGTAGCCATCGAAAAGGGAATTTCCCACAGATTGGCCCGATGGACTTAAATTCAAGACTCACAATCGGAACTTCGTTTGAGGTTTCTCGTCGGTGGTTCGATGGGTCCTATCGAACGTAGGCTCTGTAAGAGCGAGGATAGTCAGTTTGAAGCATAGGAAAGGGTGACGCTCCTCGCTTAGTCTCAAAAAGGGCTTGCTGACCGCACACTGAGTCCCTTCCCAATATTGACCCCGCTGGCGGGATACAAGTTTACCTCTTCGATCATTCGGAGATCGGCTTGCTTGGAGTGCCCATCTTCGCCAGGCCTGTACGGCTGTTTTTCCAATTGGCTCTTTGCGTCAACAAGCGCGGCGCGTAACTGCATCAAGGATTCTGCGTACTTTTGTCGCCAACATGTGCTCGAAGTACAATGAGAGTGCATTTGAAGCCATTCCTCATCCTCCTGGGTTTTTCGGAGAAAAAAAACAGGTCAGCGAAGAGAGTACTGGAAGCCCCGGTAAATCTTTCGGAGATCAGAAGTTCAGGGGAAACGTCACCTCACTTATCAATTATAATTATCATTACATATTAGGATTATTATGGATTCACACCGCGATATTTCATTCCCCAAGGAACCCGCGTACCTCGTCCTTCTCTGGAAGGATTCCGTTCCTGAGTTTGCATAGAAGCCTCTCGAGTTTGTCTACGTGAGCATCCGTGGCCTCCACTCTCCGTTCCAGCTCCTCCTTCTCTCTTCTCAAGGTATCCAAGAGTTCGTCCCGGGGGCTGGCCGCCAGACCTAGGTTCGTCATGAGACAATCTTCACGGTCTGTGGACGAGCTAACCGAATCGTCTTCCACGAGCGTGGGGAAACTCCAGTTCGTCTCACCCATCGCCGGGCTTCGAAATCGAGTTCACTCGAGCGGGATAAGGAATATCGCGAGAGCCTTTGCTGCAAATGAGCTACTTTGAGAAAAACCCGATGTATCCAAGAAGAAACAAAGGAAGGACATCAAACGGTCTAACACCGAACCTAGGAGACGTGACTGCGTCAATGAAACGACGATCGATGCTCCGGGTTTCGCGAATTTCGGGAAAGATCCGATTAGTGTCATGGGGACTGCTTGGTGCCACCGTATGGCGTACTTGGTCCGTATCCCATCGTGCTCGTCCATCCAAAGTTTGCGCTCGATCCTGTCTACATCCCGAACCAGCTCCAGGTAGCGTCCATGATTGATTAGTCTATGCCCGGAGCCAAGTTAGGATAGTAAATTTTCAACCCACCGAGCAGTCCTGCGAAAACGATCCTTCACATCGGTGAGCCGTAACTATCCGCACAACGTGCGCGTCGCGCTTCGATCATCAACACACAACATCACCGACTGAATTCGGCTGTTGCCACCAGGGGCGCGCACAGGTTTTTTTTTCGGGGGGGCAACTAGAGCTTTGGAGGGGCCAGACGACCAAAAATGATGACGCGCCTTCTCTCCATACTGTAGCATTGAAACCGAAGAGTGTGGGTAGGGGCCATGGCCCCCTTGCTCCCCCTGTGCGCGCCTCTGGTTGCCACCACGGAAATCATGTGAAGCACCCATCTGGAATCAACGTCCTCGCTTTCCTCTAGTCGGGGGCACTCCCTCCTGGACTTGAGAATTGGCTTATCCCGCCTGATCTTGCTCGAGTATATCTCGCCTGTATTCGAGGATCAGATGTCGAAGCTTGAGTTGTCTCATCGTCTGAGAGTCCAATGGGATCTAACCTATTCCCCCGCTCACGGCGAGTCATTTTCCTGATTAGCCAGGGGGAGCTTTCGCGGGCTCAGTCCCTTCATAATGGACAATGGTCCATTTCTAGAGTTGCAATTTCGGAGGGACACGCGGAGCCCGAACCACCTCCCGCAAACTAAATTGCCCACCCCTCCCGTCGGATTACTAATAGAGGAAGCCGGGGTCATGATCATCAGTGTGGGGAATGATTTCTGTCCGCCGCAAGGGATTATACCCAATTGACATGGGGATTCCGGGTGACAGCCGGGATTCGATGGGGAGCTTCCCGTGCGAAACTCGACGTTCCAGATCCGACATCGTTTCGAGATCCGACATCGTTTCGAGATCCCCCGCGATGTCCATGCCTCTTCCCGGATATCGATCGCCAGCCCGTAGTGGATTGACGAGCTCTGCTCGGTTTGAAATCGCGAAGTCACTGGCTTTCGCTCGGCTCTTCGCTCCTGAGCGGATCGTCAAGTATACGAAGGTCGAGTGGACAAGCCTCCTGCTCTGCTCTGCCTCGGATCATGAGCGCTCTGCATTCCTTCGTAGCTCATTCTTGCCATTGTATTCGCGACACGACAGCACTCACGCTTCATTTTGAACTTGAGAGCGATCGATACGAAACGGAGTGTCGGACGACGACGATGGCAATCGCCCGCGGTCGGCTCCGACTTCGGAGAAACTTCCTTAGCGTGTCTCTGATCCCTCCGAGGACGTCTCGATTCGACTCCGCACTAATGTTATCTGACCCGAGCTCGAGATCTTTGAAGAGACCCTCTAAGTTCTCGACCCTCATCGGTATGATTCGTCCTTCTCCTCATCCCTCTTTTCGATATGTCTGGAGCGCCAATTATGTGTTGGACCGATTTAATGGGGTGGATCGGTAGAGTCTCGTCATTCTTCTGCTTCCCTCGAGGAACTCCCTCTCATTCGATATTCAATGTTCCAGAGAGAAAATGCCTCGAGTGGAAGCCCCACAATCATGAGGGCAATGTCTATTGTTCGCTCCTGCGATAATCCACAATGGATCCAGACCTATTTTACTGCCTCTCGCGCGTCTGGGCGTTACTCTCGTAGTCATGACTTTTTCCTGGAAATCAGCGAGATCTTAAGCAGGCGCAGCAATAATAGAACTAGGAGATTGCCTCTCTGCGGACAATAGGCTCCAAGGCTAGACTGTTGACTTTTCCTCCCGGTTGATCCCTCCGTCTGATGACCGACTGGTCAAGGGTACCGACTGGTGACAGAAACTGAGTTACGTTGTGCGATGACAACTACATACAAGTACATATCACTGAGAGTACTGCGGGACGCGCGACCCCATCATTTGAGGGGAGACAAGCACGCTGTCCAGGAGACGAAGCATTGCCGAAGAGCCGGCAGGAATAGCCGGTAGAGAAAGGATCCACGATGCATGACCGGGGACACGACGATGTAAACGGAATCGACGGCTTCTCTGTGAGAATTCGTCGACCGTACTCGATTAAGGTCCTGCGGTCGGAGATCGACCCTCGGGTTTCCGGGTCAGTCGCGATTTCGGTCTGTGGCTCTAGATTTATCGACGCGAAATTCTCCGAAAGTCCGGAACTCTCGTTGATGCGGGGTGGTTCCCGATATCCATACGATTCCATCGAGAAATGTGCACGTGCGTGCCCTCGTCCACGACGCAGGTGTGGGAGGCAGACACCGTTTACTTTCCGCGTCAGCCATCTCTCGGGAAGACTTCTGTGAAAAACTTGCGCTCATTAGAAACCGAATCGTCCCTTCGGATTAAGAATATCCTGTTCTGTTCCGATATACGATCCATGGGTATTCATAATCGAGTCACAAAAGTAGGCTACACTCAGAATTATTGGAAGCGTGATCGCTGCGACGAGAACTGAAACTTTCTCTCGCCCGACCGGCCCTTACCCTGACAGCCTCTCTCCACCCAAACACCTGATGGACGTTACGGCGAAGTCCCAACCCATAGACAGCGGCCGGGTCGGCATTGAACGTTCGTTGCGGAGCTGCTTTGGAATTTCGTTGAAACAGTTTCACAAAATCCGTTCGCGTCGAAAGTGTCACAACTTAATCCGCTAAGTTATAATTAGCGATTGGGAGCTAGACAGCAAGGGAAAAACTCACGGAAAACGAGTGCAATAACGAAAAGTGCTCCGAATTTGGGTTCGTCGAGTGCATCCACTGCTTGTAGCTAGGAAAGAAGCCGCTTCAACGTGCCGGAAAGTCTCAAGGTGGAATCTTCGGGAGATAGCCCCTGAATTCGTGCTTGAATAGTTGATCACTCGTATTTTCAATCAGCTCGCAGGACTTCGCCATAGTTCATCATGGTTCAAAGTTGCGGGTTGGCGTGCATTAAAACGCTTCTATTCGTCTTCAACTTTCTATTCGCGGTAAGTACTGTGTTTGCAGAACTTCATTTGTTCAGATTTGGCGCAAAAACTGCATTTTACCAGCGTTGACTCTGATCCAGAGCGCCCATTCTGCCTCGAGCTCGCTGCCCATCCCAAAAGCGTGTATTCAACCGCCAGTTTTTGACGGCTCCAGTGCGGCTCCACTCAGCCCCGCCAAAAAGTCCCCGAATCGTTAAGGAATTCGATCGTTTCGGGAGGATTGTGGGGGAACAGCTATCGGTAGTTTTTATCTGAACAAAAACAAGTGTCCATTACGAGATGAATTTCTTCTCCGGAATCTGGATCGATCATGCGGAGCTGATCTCATGTATTTCTTCATCAGGCTTCGAGGGTCTCGGACGTTACTTTTGCTTCGAATCATCCCGCTAAGACTCTGTCCAGAGCCTATCGAGAATCGCTCTGATGCTCTGCCGTTTGAGATCTCCGGCATGAAAGGAAAACTGCATGCGGAACTCGATCGGAAACGATGTTCCATCCAATTTTCCGCGAGCTTGATGATAGAGCGAAGTTTTTCGGCGGGATCGAACATGCGGGCCCATGAAGATAAAATTGAAAGGGAGGATCGGAACGAATTGCGGAGGAGAAGTACTTTCTCAACAAACAGGCGAATGCAACTTTTGTTGTTCGAAAACAAGATCGAAATTCGGTCAGTGTTTTCTTCAGAACGCTCGGTGTTCGGAGCTCGAGTGCTGCGAAGCAAGTGCCGACACTTTACAAAATCCCGCAGTGATTCCAGAAATAGAAAGCATCCCTTCCGATCCGTCTTTCTCAGTCCGAATTCCTAGCGTTCATCTCTTTGTTGTTCGCTCCTATTAGAAATACTTACACATGGGGAGGATGATTACAAGAGGTGGAGGCCGGCTCCACCATCAATAGCTGGCCACCGGTAACTATCTGCCGGGGAGCGATTTTCTCCACGAAACACGTACGCTCGCTCTGTATAGGAGTCATGGATGTATGTCCCTGGAACTCGAGTGATGCTCGAGATATTTCAATTCATGGCTACAGAAGTGTTTCCGACGGCCGAAAGCGACTTTCGATTCGTTGACGCTCATTATTCGGTCGGGTTTGGACCAGGCAGCTGAAAGCAACATTGGCATACATGATGTTCGCAAACTAAATACCATCCTAAAATTAGTTTTCGTTGAGTCTTTAAGTGCAGATGGCTAACATCTGAATAACATCTGCTTCGTACGATATCATTCCCGCGGTGAAGCGCTCCTCCCGGCGAAAGGGAAGCCAAAAATAGCGAACGGATTTCGCGCTCAATATGGTGAACTTCGTTCCTTCTACCGGGCGTACTCGCATGCAGTCTGTTCTACGTTCAGACTATTCATGTTTGGATATCTGCGGCTGACGTGATGCGGCTCCGGGAGGCTTCTCCCCTTCGCCTCGCCTCGTACATCATCTCCCCATCGCCTAAGACGAATCCGTCGCGTCGGAGCTGCAAGCTATTAGCTTCGGTATTTGATTGCGTCCGCGATGAATGGTGGAATTTTATTGGTCATCGTAACGATAGTAAGGATTCGAAACTAGCAATCGACGGAGACATCGCGGCGTAATTCCGCGATCCGGAAGTTTTCAACAGCAGGGTTCGACGGCCTGTCGTTTTCCGAACGAGTCCGGTCTGGTCTCCATGCTCGGAGCCTTCACGCTTGTTCTTAGGATGATCTTGAAAGCAATGCCGCGAACTTCAAAACAGGAACATTCGGGAAAAAAACAGGCTGGGGAAGAAACCGTTGAACTTGATGGTGGAAAACGAAGCGGCTGGCTCGGGGAAGATTCCCGAAACAGTTGGCGAGTGTTGACGTGTGTAGGGTCGTCAACACAGCGGGTATCTCACAAAGAACACCGGCGATATTTTTCCTTTCTGACCACCTGTCCCAAGAGTGGCATGTAGGCGGTCACACAGCCGAATGGCGCGAGCAGTCCGACCGACCGTCGATCGGTCGGTCGCTCCATTGGTCGGACTGTCGGATACACAGACGCGGTTCTTTGTTACGATCCATGGAGGCTAGGTGGCTCCAAACGTGTGTTGGAACGTGCGTACTCATACGCGGATAATAACAACCCTGTCTCATGGTCGGTCGCGGACCTCGAAGATCGCTACATGCAGTTCAATCGAATTGAGGACCGAAGTTTCCGACTCCAGAGGGCCCATTTTGTGCTTCTGCGAAGTTCCCTTCGATTCTCCGGCTCGATCCCTCACCTACGCCTTCGACGAAGACGCGGCAGGGGGAAGATCCGACGTCCAAGGGGTCAGGCGATTTCGAGCTAATAATCCGCGAATCGATGCAGAGGAATGAGAGCCGCCAAATCATTACCGGTCACGGGAAATTGGTGAACTGCGACTTCAATAGACGGATACGGCGTCAGAGTACCCTGCAACCCGCAAAGGACGGCGTCCCGCGAGACGTTGGTATCGATCGCGAGGATTTCCACGCGAATCGCATCCTCTTGCGTCCTTTCCATCACTAGCGGAACGGTCTTCTGTGTTTGGCGTTGGTTGTCAAGGGAAAACGAGAGAGCAACCTTGAAATCTCCATTGATCAGCCCGATCTTCCCGGACACGACATCCTTGGGGCTCGTTTACCAATCGTCAGATCGCATTTCTGACTGAGAAGCTACATTCCTGACCGAATGGCTCTTCTCTCGGGGCTGGCGACGACGTCGACGACGAGGGAAGCTGCTTAGAATTAGCGCGAAGAAGAAGATGCAATGATTACAATGACATAGTTCCAGCTTTCGGGGCAGGTCTTGCCGGGCGTCGGCGAGTGCCGTTTGACGATGAATAGTCACGGAGCTCGGAATCGCCGTGCTTCTTGGGAGTTCGGTTCCGAGCAAGGTTAACTTCTTCCGGGAACGCGTATCGTTCCGTGACCGATGAGCGAGGGGCTCCTCCGAGCAACATCGGTATTCTACTGGTATCAGGCGTTCGACCATTGAAGTCTTCAGCTGTCCTCTCTGCGTCGCCTCGAGGAAAACGTTCGGAGCTCTTCTGCTCTTGGAGAAGGGCAGCCCTCACGGTCGGAGCGTGCGGAAAAAATTCGAATTCTAACGCAAAAAGCCCCGATGACAAAGGCGCAATGCGCATCGAAGCGATTGGTGGGGATGGAGGTACGAGACTGTCATGGCTTAAGGACTGTCAACTGTCACAACCGAAGTTGGAATGATGAAAAAAAAACGACCGGGAAGACGGCGAAAGAGACCTAGAAGGGGAGCGGGGATGGACAAAAAATGCTTGACGAGCATTCTCGCTGGCGACGCGTCGGTTTCTGAGTGAACGCCTATTTGGAGCTTTTCTTTTTGCGTGGAGTGGCAGACCGTGTCATCAACACCGAAGATAGTCTCCCGCTCTCGTTAATTCGATCCAATCACATTCGCTTCTCGAAATTTTCAAGGAAATTCTCGTCAGCTGATTCAGTACGAGACTCGCTCTGGGACCACAGAACTCTATGTCATTGGCCGACGACAAATTTCATGGATAGACCACGGGAAACGCCACTCCACCTCGGCGACAATCTCGTGGATTGCGGTGTCTGAACTTCGAGACGCGACTCACGTTGGCACAAAGCGGAGGAACCGTTGGTTATTTCCCTTCTTTTCATCCTCTTTTTTATTATCCCTCGCTTGAGATCCAGTGTAACACGAGAATGAGCCGAATACTCGCCGACTCGAGCGCTCCAGCTGAAGAAACGACGAGAAAGTCAACGTCTGCCGCAACGTCATCTGAAGCAATCGCGTCGGAAACGCGCCGTGTTTGTGAATCACAATGAGCGCATCGGACCGCCGGAACTAAAGCTCGAAGGGCCGCCACCTTCGGAGACACGACCGAAAATGCAAAGAGGATTGAAGAGTTTCTTCTTATTCATTCGCTTAAGCAGCTCCGTGAATGGTCTTCGGCACGTGGATCTGTGCGCTGCTAAAGCTGACTGTGACTCCGAATAATTTTTGTGCTTCATTTCGAAACTCGGCTGATGATCCGAGTTCGCTCCCGAAATTCCTCGGTCCTGGGAGTACCCGCGGGTCCTCTCCGAGATCCATGTGATGATTCGACCGCCACCCAACTTGACTCGTTGGAATATTGCCAGTCTCATTCGGTTGCTCGACAGTCGTGGAGTTTTCTTAAGGAGCGGACTTTCGGGAAGAATACGGAATCGGCAAAATCCGAAGAACATCTACCCAATATCGAGCGTATCAAGGAAACAGCTACGGGAGCGCTTCGAGAGATTTTCGTTCTGATAGGCGACGTCTTCGGAAACAAGAAGGAAGCTCTTGAAGAAAGTGAATACAATGAGATAGATAAATAGAAAGCGAATTCATGGTCCAAGCTGCGGACACGATTTGGATTGAAGCCTGGAACAATCGTTCCGCGGCGTTTCGGGAAAGAACGAAGAGTCAGAGCCGAAGAGTTACCTAGTTGAACGGAAGGAACGCCTGACACGCGCAGCTAAGTGACGAGACCGTGATCGCATTTCTCCGTTGTCCGCCCGATAAATTCGTGAACACAATGCCTCGGTCGCTTATTCCAACAATCTAGATTCATTGAAAAATCTCCACTCGCTACTCGCCCGAACTGCCATCTCGTTCTCTGGGAATTCTCTCTTGGAGACTTGGAGACGTTTTCGAATCGTCAATGTCCTCAGCCCGCGTTGCATTCGTGAGCGGCTCGTCATCATCGGGAAATATTCAATTTGCGACGCTTTCTGGAGCAATGACACTCATCGAATCAGACCTTTGTACAAACGGGCGGTAGAGCGACGAGCGGCCGGCCGAGCAAAGCGCGGCCAACCTTGGACAAATGATGGGCTCAAATGAGGATGTCCGATCCATGCGATATTTAATTTTTCCCTCTACGTTTATCTTTCTATTCCACCGACCAGCGTATCGATGTGAGCATCGCTCATAATGCCTAACGTGCCTCTCGATCATTGGAATCACGATCGCTTGAGATACGATTGCTTGCTTGCTCGGTTTTC